GTTAAACTGATAAACTCTTTAATCGAGCGTTAACATTTCAATCAACATTAAAGAAAAATAAAGAAAACAATTTAAAAAACTTCAAATTCCAATAATAATAGTTAAAATTAGTTTAAATATTTTAAAAAAAGTCACATTAAAAGTCTGATGAAAATTACTAATCTCTATAGACTGTGGAATTACAAAAAAGAATATTAAACATTTGATCAAAAACTAGTGTTTTGTAAATATTCCAAATTTTGATCATTTTTATAATATTTTTCACAATTATTTTGAAAAGTTTTGTTTGTTTTTGATCTTCAACTGCAAAGTAGTTACAATTCTTCACTAAAAATTATACTCAATATTCATAATTGAAGTTAGTATAAAAATATCTTCAGCGTTTAGACAATAAAAAAAAAATACATATAAATAAGTTTCATGTGGAATGGTACGGCCAAGTGTCTGCTCATAAACGTTGTAATGTTTCAATATTATATGCTATCAATCATACTTATATTAATTATTATACTTACACATAAAAAATGTAAAGAATTTCTTTTTTAAAAGAAGTTTAGACACAAAAAATATTTATTATTGTAAAACCGATATATTTGGCACCCCGCCCAAATCTTAAATTATTATTTGAAATACTATAATTATACAAAGTTTGATGAAAGGTTACTTAAATCATAATATAGTAAATATATTCAATTAAATTCGAAAATTCTTACTGAATATTTTAAATATACATATTATATAAGATATTTATAGATATATATATATATATATAGATATAAAGTACTTATGAATATCTACACATTAAGTGTTTTATAATGCAAAATTTACAGTACAATCATTTTACTTCAAAGCGGGAGTCGATAAATTTCAAAAGAAATTTATACACAATTCGTAATAATATTTACATGAAAACGGTATAAATCATTGTTTAAATTATCCTGATATACTACAACTTGTATATTACCTATATCAGAATTCACATAATTACATAATTATAGTATCTAACCAACTTTTAAACGATTTATACGCCTGTTATTGACAGACCAATAATAGTGAACTGCGTCGTATATACGCATAAACATTACTCAGTAAACATTGAACAGTCTGAGCGCAGTCTGTTATTATACTAATATGTAAGTATAATATTATAGATCATACACTATTTTACATTGTTACCGACTACAGCACACTTTCCTCAATCGTATTACTAAGAAATGGTGTTGTCTAAATGTCTGTTACGCCAATATCTCTTAAACAATAATTCAGCTGTGCGGACGAAGGGTATGAATCATTTTTTTTCGCTCCATTTAGAGCGGCGGCGTAATACCTATTAGTCACTCGCAATAAATTCATTGCTAGTGACCAGTCATCACGCATTGATGTGCCGGTAGGCATACTATATGAAACTAGTCATGAGATGAAGTACTCTTTGTTTTTAATTTTTTTTTTTTTTACAGTTATCCTCAAACGACTTGCAACACATAATATTCTATTACAACACGATATTAACATGCCAATCGATATTCACTTTCTACAGAAATCACCGTAGCAGCAGTATAATATTATATTTAATGTACTATAAATGAATATATTACTTAAACGACAATACGTGTACAACCGACCACGAGTTAGGTAAAATAATAAAAAAAATGAATGTGAATACTAATTTACATTAATTTTTTTTATTATTTTAAATGACAAGTGAGACACGATGAGTTCAGTTATTAAACATAATATTTTCTAAATTCCTATTGTCAAGTTATTGAAATGCATTACAGATAACTCTGATAAGTGATAGGATAATGTCTCGATAATAATTAATACACGGGTAGCCGTTATTAAATTGTTAAATTTGTTTCGAAATTAAATTTCTTTAACCAGCTCGTCTTATGTCCAAAAGATTGACACTCTCACATAAACTCTCACGTTTAATATTCACTTGAAATAATAATATTATAATGTCTTGGGTATACATACCGCCATATTGTTTGTATAATAAGCACTATCTCATCTGTTTTCTATATTAATTTTACTAAATCTTTTCATTTTGATATTTTTTGATCCGTCAAACACACTAAAATAAAGATAAAATAAATGTCATGAAGAAAATAATTTCCTAAATAAATGTGATTTCCATAAAAAAAAATTTTTCTCAAAACTTTCAAAATTAGTTTACCTTAAAAAATAGTAAGTTATTATTTTCATATTTAGATCGTTTGATTAATATCTATGTTAATGCACAAAAATAAATTTGTTTTTTGGCAAAAGGTCGTGATTTTATAGAAATAATATTGAGTGCAACACAACTGCGAACTTTTTACCTTTTTTATAGCACGATTGAAAATGAATATTGCTTATCGTCTTATGAAAGCTCTCTGGCTCATTTATAGTTCTAAAAATAATTATAAAAACTTAGAAATTTTGTATTTACTTAGGTACTGATAAAATTTACGTTGGAAGGAACAAAAATTTAATTTGATATTTTTTAAATCATAACTTGGATTTACTGAAAGTTCATGTACCTAAAAACACGATAGAAATAACGCATTGAACGCAATTAATGTAGATACATAACCTTCTTCAAGGCTGGAAGGTTCAGCTATTAATGATTAAAGCACATTTAAAATTTCGTAATAGAAATAGTGAGCCGAAAAATAATTTTGGCCATTGACCTAATTCATTGTTAATATCCTCTCAGATTCGAATCTCCGTTAATCTGTAAATATTTTATTCAATTTATTTTATTTAAATCTTGCTTCAAAATCGTAAAGCCGAGTATATTTTATAAATTAACATATACCTAGATAAAATAAAATTTTAAATATAACCTTTCTCCAACGAGTTTGACCTTAATTAAAACAGCATGTTAAAATTATCACGTTTGGAAATATTTCTTTTGCAGCTTCACAAGCTTCAAATTTTAAGTCTAAATGAAATTTTTGAACATCAAAAGTTGAAGTGAAAAATTTTTGACATAGTTCCAAAAGATATTTCTATATATTCAAATAAATTTATTTTATTTTATTTTATTTACAAAAAAAAAAATATTACACATTAGAGATATAAAAATATTTTGTAAAAAAATGTATGAAATTAAGTTGTAAAAAAAATTTTGGCGCTTAATCAAATGTGCCATCTGCAAATAACTCATTTAGTGTTGTCATAAATTTTTAATTTTCCTTTGTAATTTTACAGACAAATTCGTCATTTTTTGGAACAAAAACAATCTGGTCTCCATTAAAAAAAAAAAAACAAAACAAAAATAATTTTCCACCTGCAGTTTCGATTGAAACATTATTATTTGTTAGATAATATGGAAAAAACGTGGAGAATTTTAAGTCACTTATCGTACATCGTTTTACTCATAGATTTTATACTGTTGTATTTTATATCTATATTAGATAATCTTTAATTAAATCAGTTCGTATAATTTTTAATGGCCTGGTGAAAATATTATTGTCAACTTTTCTTTTACTTTTCCTAAGTTTAAAAAAAAAATTAAACACGTTTTTTATGTCTCTATGAATTTTTTTACCTATCCAAAAGTGCTTGATAAATGTAGTTTTTGAAATGTAAGAATTAAGAACTCTTTTCTTCCGTCCCTCCAAATCTCCCCACACTTCTGTCCTAACTTGATGAACATGTGTAATATAATAAGCCCCGCCCTTTTTTGAACGTAAATTTTAAGATAAAACAAAATAATACGAAATAAGCATAATAATAATGTTCACCTTGACCCAGTGCATTTGTAGCGCTCGATGAGTGTACGCGGAAAATTTCACGGAACTAGATTAAACGTCTGCGAAGAAATCCAATAGGTTTTTAGGGAAAACTCGGGTGAACGGCGCTCAGCAGATGCAACATTATGTGATTATGACTCCCACAATGAATACGAAAAAACCGACCGTGACCTCGGGGACGACGGATCGACGCATTTCCGCACGATGCGAAAAAAAACCCACTACCCACGACAGTATTGGAATTGGACACATAATCGACACTCACCGCACGTCTATATTACGCACGTTGCGAAGTATATCGCGATTGTGTATAATAATAATATTATCACATTGACTGGAAACGTGATAAAACACACCAACGATGCAATATTGACACGAATGAGAGGTAGGGGGATTTGGTCTAAATCAAATCTACTTTTTGCACATATACGTAATAATAAATTTTTCGTAAAAAAAAAAAATAGGTTTTTCAGGAAAAATAGAAAAATTTACTAATAAAATATATTTTGGAAAAATAATAATCTATGTTTGTTCACAATAATAGAATTAATTTCAAATTTCAAATTTTATTCACATATACATTATTTTGGTATTTTTAAAATAATAATATCCGTGTTTATAATACGACATTATACTGGAAACAATAATATACATTAATCTTAACGTACTAAATTTCTATTTTTTTTTTTTTAATTTTATTTCCAATTCAACGCCAAGCTTTAGTTTTGAAACTAAAGCAATTTAAAGTTAATCCATACCTTAGTGGTCACTATAAAAAAATTGTAAAAATTGTTTAGAATTCGATATGAGAACTTAGTTTTTCCTTTGTCTATTTTTTAATCGTCATTTTTATATACTTTTAAGTTATTGTAAGCGTAAATATAATTTTATAATTTCTTCGAAATTCCTTTCTTTTTATTTTCTGAAACTTTAAAGTGTTTTTTCTGAAATTTTTTGTTTTTAAATTCAATAACTTTTTCATATTTTCTGGTGCCTCGAGTGGTTTTTCCGGCATTTCTATCCCTAGAGATCTATACATTGTAATATGACGCGCACAACTATTATCAAACATTATTATTATCGTTTCCATTGCCGTGTGCCCGGTGCCGTTTCGTTTTTGGAGGTCATCCTCGTCGTCGCGGTAATCGGCCAGATGCGTTTTTTTCCTGTTGTTCATCGTCGACTCTGCAGCGGCTGGAAGGAGGAGAGTAGGAATCGTCAAATCTAGGTTATCCCGATAAATACCAAATCCCGTGCCGTGTCCGTCGCATAACAGTCCGACAGTCTCGGTCCGTCCACAACGTACCTACTACGTACCGCTAAAATATTATATCAATTTAATCAAGTTACTGCGTTCAACTGTATTCGCACTTTGCACGCCGTTTCGCTATCGTTCGTCGGGTCACATACACGATCATCGTTGAGGTAAATATATTTTTTTTTATTTCTTTATGATTCCAAACTTGTATACTTACGCAATGTGTACATTATACAATATCGAAACAGACCTAATCGTGTCGCTTTTTATGTTCTCGCACGGATTTTTTGTTGTTTTTTAATTTGATTTTTCATCCAACCACAGCCATTTATTCAAAAAACAGAATTAAAAGTTCAATGCAATATTGATAATATTATATTAATCGTAATATTATTCACGAATATATTTAAAAGGTTATTTTTTTTATAATGAAAACAATATTATGAAATTGATACAAACATTATTTTTAATCTTGAACTTAGCCTTCTGGTAGGTAGAGTTCAGGTAGGATTTGAACAAGTAACACTACCTATATAATAAAAAAGTATAAATAATTTTTTTATATATTGCTAAATAATTTACTAATAAATAACATAAAGTTAAAAAAATAAGTTCATTGTTAAACTGGAAGGAAAAAATTTAAACTATGATAATAATTCAATAGGTACTTCAATTTCGTGAAATTTTCAAACATTCACATACATACAATAAGCAAACATTTTATTTGCTTTGTTTACTTAGTTTATTTTTTTCCAATTCATAAATCTCGGTAAATCCAAAATAAAAAGCCTAGAGTGTATTTATTTTCAGTCAACAATTTTTACGATAGTTCAAAAGCACAAAAGTTACAACATCTTCAAAGATCAAAAACTTTTCACACATTATTATACACTATTATACTTCAAAAATTTAATTTATTGCGTATTTCAGTAGTTTTTCAGTTAAAAATAAAATTTTGACTTTTTTTAGGTAAAACGAATTCTGTTTGAATACATTTTTTTAAATTTAAGTATTCATCTTAGTTTTTAAATGTAAATACAATTATTCTCTATATGTGTATCTACCTTTATTGTATTTCTAATGAGGTTATTTATTAAGAGACATAGTACATGATATAAAGATCATTAATAATCCAAATCCTAAACAAAATACATATTTAAAGTTCAAATTTTCAAAGTATAATATATCTTAAAACATCCAAATTGCCGTATGTTAATAATAAATAGATTTTTAATAATATGCAATTGGTTCAAATGTTTAAATAATATTTTTGTAAAATTTTAAATAATCTTGACCTAACGTAATACGCATTTTTTACTGATTTACAGAGATGTATTATAATCACATACCTAATCATCTATTTGCACTTAGCTATAGAAATAATTTATCTAATAATTTAAAAGAAAATTAATTTGTAGTCTCTACTTAAAAAAAATGTAAAAATGCATATATATAAAATTAAAACGTATAAACATATTAATTGAATTTATATCTCTCCTATTAAAGTACTAAAACTTTTATTAATAACTGATAAGTATATATATTTATTATAGATATCACATTTAACTAGATCATATTTTTGTTTATAATTGAATAATTAAAATTGAACAAAATATGTAGTTGTTTATTTAGCGTCCAATGTTTTATTAATCAGATTAAACTTTAACTTATGCATTTCAATTCAGTTTCAATCACTTAAACATTAGATTTAATTAGCAAAATATATTTAAATTCATATATGTTTCATATATATACCTAAAAATAAAAATTTAGATGAAATAATCAAAAATGTTTTCATATTTTCACTTAAACAAATGTTATTACATTAATACATAATTATAACTGGCAAGTTAAAGTATCTAATATTTTATCAAACATTTTTTTTTTCACTTAATTTATTCAATTTTTTTTTTTTTTTTACAAACAATTTAATTTTTTTTATTTGACTTATTTTTATTTTATATCTTATAATTTACATTATATAGATCATGTACATAACAATAACCTATTCACAAGTAGAAAATATTATAACATCAAATCAATTAATTTAATTATTGTTATTATTATTATTATTATTATTATTATTATTATACCTTAAGGTAAAATACCGTTTATATATATATTAATAATTTAAAATATTTAATTATTCATGAGCTTAACTAACTTACCGTACATTGTATTGCGGTTTATAGAGAAATATATTTTGTTCTAACTCTATCCCGCGAGCATTTAAAACGGTAAAATACAATATTTCTCATCAATCATTACTATAATCACTTTTCATCGTCAATAATTATCCCATTTAACAATATCGATAAAAAATAATGCACCACAACTTAAGGTAAAGTAGTTTTCGATCTATCGATAACTACCGTCTACCGTAATCATTACCTTTCGATTCTCGAGCAGCATCACAGGTCGTTGAAATTGGTAACATACATGAGTACATCCGATGATGAAAATGATTATGGTAATAATAATTATAGATATGATTAGGTGAAACACGAATAAAATATATAATACTAGCTTATCCTGTATAGCGTTTCCTGTAACAAATTAAATAATGCCTATAGATTTACCCCATCCTTAACTATTCACAACTCCATTTAATGAAAACTACACATATTTTTAATGCAGTAATTTTGGCAGTTTTAATCAATTTTAAAATATAATATACCAATTTAATAATTATTTTATTCGTTTTTCGTTTTTCGTAAGCCAAGAAACTCCTGTATGACCCCATTTTTAAAATGCAAATTTTAGAAAATATTTTCTTAATATATCACTTACATACTGATACGAAGATAGGTAGGTACCATGGATATTTCAAGTCTCTAAGACTATCGTACGCAGTTATGGCTATTTTGGAACTTTTGTAATACTATCGATCACGCCAAATTATCACCAAGTCATTCTGAGTACAAAACTTTTATATTATATCATAATATATAATATGTAATTATGTTTTGTATACATACAGTACACGAAATGATCCGCTTAACATAAAATACTCATTAGTTCAAAAACTGTTTTGTTTTTGAAAATATTTTTTTTCATATAAATTTAAGTTGTAAAAACAACCTTATTGGAAAATAATTATATTTTTACTATTTAGTAATTATCATTACTATTTATCTTTTTTACTCTTCTTAATTTTAACATCCATGTTTAGTTTTGTATTCCGAAGTAGATTAATAATGTAAATATTTCAACCTATAAAAATCAAATTTCAGACCAATAATTTATTATAGTATAAGTATTTTAATTTTTAAGTTTAGATAAGAAAAGTAGAGGACCGACATTTTGTGGTGCACCTTTGTGCTGTTTTACTCTAATTATCTAAATTTTAAATATTTATCTTACAAACTACCCGTCAAAATTCTATTTTCATATCGGAGAACTTGAAAAAGTATTCTGTAAAGTTCACGTATTTATCTACCTCCTTTATTAACCAAAACCATTTATTTGGGGAAAACGTCCGTCTTCAGATAGAGTACAAGCGTTTGTTTTCAAGTATAAATTTTGTATTATATTTGTAATTACAAGAAACGTGATTGGACAAAATTGGGCAAAGAGATTGGTGTTTCGGCGTAAAAACAGAGGAGGGTTTAATACAAACGAAAAAATACCGAAGGAGCAGTTATATCACTTTTCTTCTTGCTTTAAGACTTTTTCATGTTTTTACTATATTTTTTTAAAGGTTTAACCACGTATATATTTTTTGTTTATTTTTATCACTCGTATACCGCACTTTTTACAGTCCTTTTCGTAATATGCGTACACTGCAATAACATCGCAATTAAAATCAAAGTTATATTTTTATACTCGTGAGTATAATTTATTATGCATCAATGATCAGAGAAAAATTAAAATTGTTTCAAATGTTTTCAATAAGTGAGTCTAACAATTGTCTATAACACTACCTATATATGTATATCAACTATTTTCCTTTCGTCCGACATACACAACACAACCGTGCAATTACGATAAAGCGGATTATTCTATTCCCAAAAACATCCATTTTTTACGTCTATGAGGTGTGTAAAAACGCATACGTATAAAACACACTGTTTTTATAATAAATTTAATACATCGTCGAAAAACGCATTCAGTGCCTTTGATAAAAGCCTAATATAATAATACTATAGAAACGCGGATAGCGCTCACAAAATGTATTTCCACAACCGCGATGTCACGTCAAACTAACTTTTGCAATATAACAAAACACCTTGACTCATAACCTGACTACATCCGTACAGGCAACACGTACTAGCTAAACGCACATAGGTATGGATCAGGTTTATACCATATTTACTATTTAATATACCTATATATATATTTAGTATACTTATATATTATAAAGTATTTCGTACGCGTCATTCGGACGATTTCACTTCAGTTAGCAGCGTGCACGGATGGTATACGCATTAGCCAAATTGTATAGTCGGTTCGACGAATGTGATATTATGCATTGTATGCACTCAGCGTGGCGATGGATTTACGCAAGGATGAGGACCGCCGCGGTGGTGCTTTGGAAACGCATATCCTCCTCCGTCGTCGGGTTAGCTCTTACCATATTATACTGAATACAACTTAATCTCAACCCATAGTTCACGGACAATGACTTGGGTGTATACCATTAGACAAAGTTAGAACGCGTTCTATCGGACGATTCAACCAAATTTGGTCTAGTGGCCAAATCGTTATCGGATCGCCCAACCAAACGTTATGTTAATGCAATATTTGTTTTGTATTGTAATGATAATAAATAATAATAATACATGAGTGTATCGTTGGGCACGGTCTCCAATGCACACGTTAAATTAGTCCTTGGACTACTTGACACGGTGCTACTTTATAGGTACACGATTGCGGTTGACTGAGATGACGTATTTAACATATTATCACTATCTATATCAAAATTTATTGGTCGAAAAAAACGGGTTTCTTCCGTTTTTTTTATGATAATAATCCGACGATGGAGAAAACCTGCACAATAATCATAATTTACCATAATATAACTGCATCATATGTTACGTTTGTGATTCATTACAATAAAAATATTATGATAATCCGATAAAAAACATGGGCACGTGGTAAAACAATTTTTTTTTTTCTATAAATGGCGTGAATAATTTGCGACAATATTTTGAGTTACCACCTACACGTTTAATAATAATTATTATTACTATTTTTGTTGGTTTTGTAGTCGTCGTTTAAAATTTGCGGAAAATATAATATAGCAGTATACCTACATATCGAATAAATATATAATAATTACAATAAGATTTTTACCTATACATATAATATATGATATTATCTCGATACAACGTTGTTGAGTTTAGGCGAATTCCTTGGTGGACCGGTTTTTCTTTTTTTTTTTTTTACTCGACCTTCACCTATACTATTATTAAACTATATAAGTATCTGAATGCACGTGCGTATGTTATTTTTATTCCCATTACGTTTGAGGAGGAAAATACAAATCGATTGACCTTTGTAATAATTATGCAAATCGCTGTCGAACAACATAATATTATTAGTAGGTACCTATACACGCGCTCACTTGAACGTTAATATAATGAATTGCACCGTCTTAAGTCTTTTCAGTTTTCGAATTAGTTTTCTGCATACGTCGTCACACCACCTTCGCTGAAATTTATTAAATACAGTTACGACCGTGTATTTAATAGTAATAATAATACGTAATTGTATACATTGACACGATTCGGCCCGTCCGACTGCTATCACTGTCGTCGTAGTATTGCACCTAGTACAAAAACGTAAGAGAGAGAGAAAGACGGTTTTCACCTCCCAACATTCATTTCGGAATCGAATAATCGATTGAGATGAAGGTCTTACATGTTAAAAATATAATATAATAACAGTCCCGAAATCGAATACCACTTACAAATTTCATTCTACATAATTCGCGTAATAACCAACTTTACATCGGTAAACACGAGTAGAGGCAAGTGAAAAACCTCATTCATATATTATCGTTGTGCGTTGATAACGACTATAATAAATACCATTGTAAGTCGTAGTAATCACGCAACAACAAATTTCGATTTCAGATAAAACAAAATAATTACCTACTATAGTATATATATATATATATTTTTTTTAATAAAGTATTATATTTCACATTAGTATATTTTTAGTATAATTACTACAATAATAATAATGATAATAATAATAGTAGTTATTACTTTCATTAATTAATTCAAGTAAATACATAAATTACGCGTACCGTTCCCAAAGTCGGTTGATATAAACGACCGAAGTGAAGAGATAAGTAAATAGTTCAACATTCTAAACCTTTTTTCCCCAACATACAGAGTGATGTACTTAACATTGTTTGTATGTTTTTTTTTTTTTATATATATATATATATATATAGTTTTAATAATTTTCACTAACAAATTAAAATCTATGATATTTTCGAACTATTCTTTAACGGAAACTCGTATTTTTTTTTTTTTAATATAATATTGTGCTGTTTAAAAATCAATAAAAATATTCCTCTTATCCATATTGTAGAAATTAAACTTAAATATTCAAAATTACTACTTTAAAAAATTAAATAGGTCAAAAATGTGAGATAACAATATATTATAATAATCAACTACATTTTTTTTTTTTTTTGTTATCTTAATAATTACTAAATTAATTGTTAGATAATATCCGAGTCTATAACATGTAGTTTTTTCTTCTCAAACAATATAATATGGTTACCTAGTAAATAATAGCCAATAATATAATCAAATTTACTTTTATTTTATTAATTTATTTGCACTGTTGAAAATACAAACAAATAAAAGTTTATCATTAAAGGATAATATCAGAGAGTTTAAGAATATAACAAATTCGATACATACAACGCTTAGAACATTGCAAAATAGTATAATATAGAAGAGATATCCCTGATCACGGTCTTTCATTTGCAGGACGAGTGACCTAAATTAATTTCCGATGATAAAAATACTCGTCGTTTAGTCGAATGGTCGTCATAGACTATAGTCGTATCGTTTAATAGCGAATCAATAATGTTATCATTACACTGTCATTTGCCTGAGTTGCAATTGTCGAAGGTAGAATAAAATACCGACGCACGTGCCAATAATTTTATTAGTCTATATTTGGCACTGGTCAGAACAAATCGCCAAAAATTTTAAATATCAAAACGTAAAATTGATTAAATTGCTTAAATATGTTATATGTGTTATAGATACATACCCAGAATTTTGGTAGGTACTATAAAAATATCAAAACTTAAACAAGATTAACACAATATGCACTAGTTAATATTTCATGCAGTTTGTCGAATAAACATTTTTAAACATGGCACATTTAACCTTGTCTGTTATACACGATAGGTTCGTGATTACATTAAATATCATGATTAAATTCATCCAAATGACATGTAACGACCTCATAAAATTTTTAACATAAATTAAACTCACATACAAGACAGTGTACAACGTACAATGCGTACCTTTATACATGTAATACTACATTTTATAAGTACATATTTTTTTTAAATACTGTAACTTAATAATACATAATATTATATTCACTAGTCTGCAGAACGCAATTTTTTATATTGAGTTTATATTTATATTTCCATAAACAATTGTCTACAATTCTATATGACAAATTAATATTCGATTTAAATTTAAAAATACAACCCCGCAGCCAAATAAAAGCGCTATAGTACTGCAGCACAAGGAAAATGATTTTCATGAAATAGACGTCGCACACGCGATTAAAACGGAAAACGTTCAAGAAAAATTGCATTTATAATGTTTATTGCATCTACATTCCCGGAAATACTCTCCGACTGCAGAAAGTGCTTTGATAAGATGTATATGAAAACAGTGCATTTAATAAGGTCGGCAAAGGATAAATGTACTTAATCCTCTCGTTCTCCGAGCATTTATAGTTTAGAATAATAATATAATTTCCAATATTATTACATTTTTCTGATAAATATATGTCTAGGGCTTAATATATCGTCAATAATTTATAGTAATACATTCAAATATCTCTATAAAAATATAATAATCAGATACCGGTAACATAACATTATATTTAATTAAATTTGGAATTATACACGCATAATCTAAAGACAATATTTATTATTACTTAATTTTGTTTACAAATATATTAAACTATTTTTATAGACTACTATTTTTACATATTTTAGTTTATCAATCTTTAAATCAGTCATACATACTCCTGTTTCTGACTAATTCACAGAGTCGTTCAATTGTATTACTTCAGTAATAACTTCTAGATTATCAGCCATCAAGACCATGTCAATTTTTACTCGGTAAAAAATGTTTGTACAATTCAATCTAGTTCAGTATCTTTCATACTTAAAAACAACTACAATTCCATTACATCTAATTGTATTTAATTAAAATAGTGCTCTATTCTTGAACTACCTTACAGCTTTGACCCTATACCGTTTCCTTATAAACCGTATTGCTTCGATCTTTTATTGCATGTGATTTGAAACACGTTGATTATACCCTCTTATTTAAAATATTAATATTCATTAGTCTATGCAACCAAACCTTGTTACCAAAGCCCAAAGCGTAACTAAGTAGGTACAATAATAAATTAATGCTAAATTAATTATAATCTTTGATACTCGCCAACCGCATATTATAATGCAGCTTTTGCTATTGGCAAAACTCCAATAATAATAATATAATTATGTAACATGTAAATACTCTGACCAACCATGTCACGTATTTACTTTTTCTTTATAAGCATAATTTAAATAATTGATACATTAAATATATATATAAATACTACATTTTTTGCACTTAGTGGTTATATTTAACGATTAAATCTTAATTTAATTCATACAGCAAAATCAATTTATTTTAAACATTATAAATAGTAAGTACTAGGTACTGTCATTAACTTCATTTTAAATTCTGAGTGGAGTGATAAATTTATTGATTTTACAATGACATTTTGTAGTTAATTTTTTAAGAAGCTTAAATAGCTAAGAATTGAAAATTAAATGCAAGGATTCTCATAATAATTTATACTAAAATCAAAAAATTTAAAAAATTTATAAAATATATTTATTATATATATGCATATAAGTTTGGACAAAATTAGATATATTTAAACAAAGAATAACAATTTTAGTTGCCTATTTTGTTGTAATTTAAAAAAATGATTCGTGGGAACTTAAAACTTTTAACATATATTATTATATTGTATACACACATTAAAATTTTCAAACGCAATGTTTTCGTGAAAAATTAATTCAACCTACCTAATAGTTAAATAAATTATATTCAACACTTATTGTACAGCAAAGTTTATTGTTATCTATTTACCCATTTTATTTTTACTATAAGTTATTATTCTAAAAATTCAATTAAATAATTTTTTTATGTTAAATCACACGGTCAAACCGGTCACTCTGGGAATCAGAATACGTATAAATATATATAATTATTTTGTTACAGAAACAACATTTAGTCATGGCACTCGCAGTGGTCTCAACTCATCTGTATCCTTTGGAAAACGCCGTGGAACATCACACTGACCGCTTTGAATTGCTACAGGATGGATCAACAGCCATATTTCGCCGTGGACAACCATTTTATTTAGGAATTAAGTTTAATAGACTATTCGACAAAACCCAAGATATCGTTAGAATTGTTTTGGTAACAGGTGAGTGATGATAACGTAATGCCATAGTAATGACATTTTATGTCATTGACTAAATAAACAATAGACATTTAGAAAAATATCACAGCAGGATAAATTAAATGATAAGTCAACGTCTTGAACAGTAAGGATCCTTCGTTTCTTAAATCCTTTTATATAGCATATTATTATATATTTCTTTTAAATTTGAAGAAAACGAATTTCTTTTATGAAAACAGTTAACGGAAACGAAGGGCGTTTCATGAGTTCGAAGAATAATTGTCCCATCCATAAAAACATAGTCCCAGACCATATATTCATACATGATACTCATCAGATCGCATCCTGCGTTTAAGAGGCGTGAATTTATTATTATAGATCCAACTCCGTTGCCACACCCCTTTAAATTAGGAAATTATCCCCTCAGGTGTCACAACAACAACTTTTCAATCGCCATACTATAGCCACTTAATCGATTTTTAAATTTTCTTCTATAGGACCAACCCCAGCTCCGGCCAAAGGCACGAGCGCGGCGCTTATAATCAAAGAAAAAGAGGACCTGATCGCCGACAGATGGGACGGCCGGTTCAGCGGCTTTACCGGGTCCACCGTCACTATACAGGTCAGACAATTTAAATTGTATTATTATTAATATATTAGGTGTTCCATAAAGAATGAACCGACTTTGGTCAATTATATTTTCAAATCGAAAAAGTGAGTTAGTTTTTCCGGTTTTTTCCGGTTTTTTTTTTTTTTTTTTTTTATTCGAGCGTTCATACAAATCCCAATTGATGGCTCTAGAAGCGATTGGTAAGTTCCAATTGGCTTAATCAGTTATCACTTTATTTTTATTCCAAAGAGGTGACTTCACAACAGCAGTAGCCACTGTCATACCATATATTTTAGAGCAAATTTGGTAAAAATTCGAATACCGTCTCGATATCGTTTGTGTGATTAAGGGTACATTTACCATTTCCGAGAGTATCGTCTGTAACAGCTAACGTGTGTTTTAATATTTGTTTTTATAGTATCTCTTAAGAATAAAAATGTATAAATATTCAAAATTAGTTAATTTTCGTGTAACGTTTTATTATATTTTAACCCTTCGTACACCTTATATATCCAGTGTATAATATTAAGTCTGATAGTCGGCAACCCCGAACACAATCTTAAGTATGGTAAACACTAGCGAAAATTTTCATAGTACATATTATGTTAAATTTTAATTAACCACTAAATCTAGTATAATATCAACTATCGATAAATTATTTTTATCGGATGACATGAAACAATATAATAATGTTCGTCATTATATGAAATACTGAATAACAAATAAGAAGAAAAAAAATTTTATCTCTACCCAAAAGAGCTACGTGACGAACATAGAATATTAAATAGACTATATATTATGAAAACCCACCACTTGAACTTCGGTTTCAGTGCTGCAGGTATATTCGGTGTGCAGCATAATACGCCTATATTATTATTGATACACCAAAAACGATTTTTGGTCAGCTATGAGTAAAAGCGTGTATTTATATCAATCATAAATAACGTGTATTCCAGGTACAAATACCGCCGTTTGCTCCTGTTTCCGTGTGGAAAATGATCGTGCATACGGCCCGGAAGGGCGTAGCCGGAGTCAATCAACATCAAATCGACACAGCCATTTACGTACTGTTCAACCCCTGGTGTCCGAGTAAGTTATATAGCTGCGTATAGCGTGATCAATTTATACAGAGTTATATGAGTGGGGGGCTGCATACTATTATTGACAATATATATATATGGCCGAGCTCAGAAACTCACTTAAAACACTAAAACTTTTGACAATAACCAAATATTTTTTTGTTACCCACTCGAAAATTTATAAATGACCATCATCATGTATTTGACTGTTTTGTTCATTTTTCAATAGACTTTTTATTTTTTTTCTTCTTAAATAAAAACGCTAATCCCAAAATCATCAACGTATAAATCGCAGATTTATTATGATCCTCTCTCGGTCCTAATCCATAAGCCTATGTCTCGACGACACATATTATACATTCAGGTGTGATATAATATACTTATGAATTATGATATATGCGTGTATTTTTCAGACGACGGCGTTCACCTGAACGACAACGAACAGTTAGACGAATATGTGCTCAACGACAACGGAAAAGTATGGCAAGGCACGTACAAAGAACCCAAAGGATACCAATGGTTCTTCGGACAGTTCGAATCGGTAGTCTTGCCGTCTGTTATGATGCTACTCGACAGATCGTCTATCCCGCATCATGACCGAGCTGATCCGGTGAAAATGGCCAGATGCATTTCGGCAATTGTAAGTTACGCGTGTTTATATGATTAGCATAACATTTAAAATTAAGCATTGACTAATTAAAAAAATTAAAATTAAGTTAGAAAGTTATTTTTAAAGTAACTTTGAAATTCATAAATTTTAATCCATAATAAATTTATAATCTAACGAAAAGATTTGAATGCATAAAATTATCTTTTTTTATTATTACTATATTAGTTTTTATGTAACTTAATTTTTGCTAGTTAAAATATATGACCAAATTGCTTAGCATTAATAATAGTTTATACGTTTTGTATTCCCATACTCTGATACTCATTACAGTATAATATTGTTTATGACATCAAAATACTTGAACGGTTTCACTATGCGATGCATAAAACAAATATATATTAACGCGTTAAGAAAAATATTTTCGTGTTGTGTAATCTTCGATTACAAAAAAAATCATCCATTGTCTAATCCTATCAGAACATTTAAACAGCTGAGTGCTTATTTTTAGACGAATAACGTGGACGATAATGGTCTAGTCGAGGGCAAATGGGACGGTGCATTCGAAGACGGCACCAGTCCATTCGCATGGATAGGCAGCACTCCAATTTTTGAAGAGTTTTACAATACTCAACTACCCGTGAAGTACGGACAATGTTGGGTATTTTCCGGTGTCATTGTTACAAGTGAGTGTTACACGTTGCCTCGTATAATATTTACAACAACTATTTAAAAAATAAAACGGAACTCAATAGAGTTTAATTTTATTCTAGTTATGACCAATATTATAGCTCCAGTAAATATGCTAATGATGTACCTATTTTGCCTATCTAAAACGCCGTACAATTAAAATAGAGGTTTTTTTTAATTGGATCGCATTAAAAAGTAAAAACATAATATATCATACTAATGCGATACCAAAAAATTAAATTAAGGATAATACAAAGTTATATCATCATGATATAAACACTACTAAATTTTCCTTCTATAATATAAAAGTCACCACTTCGAGTTAAGACCTTAGAAAATGCACACGACACCTTTAGATTTACTTAATCTCTTTTAAATTCAACCACTATAATAGACTTACTGAGCCTTGGATAGTTACACTAATCATATCAATGTGAATACGTCAAATTTAAATTTCGGCTATCGCGATGTGTTGCAGTTTGTAGGGCACTAGGAATACCGTGTCGGTCGGTGACCAACTACATGTCAGCACACGACACGAACGCTAGTCTAACAATCGATACTTATATCGATGTGAATGGTGAGAAGCTCAACAATCACCCGGGAAGCTACACAAATGACTCGTGCTGGAACTTCCACGTATGGAACGATGTGTGGATGACCAGACCTGACTTGCCCAATGGTTACGGTGGATGGCAGTCGATCGACGGGACGCCGCAAGAGACGAGCGACAGTAAGAAGTTTTGGCTTATTTTTTATCATAGTTTACCAAATATCTGTATATGTGGATAAATTTAGATTAATTAATGTAGATATTTTATCGACAATCTTAATTCGCGATTCGATCACTTAATTTTTATCATACGCAAAAATATATATATATAGTCGCGTAAGACAACTTAATGATCTATTGCACGATTAATCATTTTGTAATTTTGTAAAAAATGTTGTAAGCAACGCGTACTTACAACATTAACTTGGTGTAATAAAAATATGAAAACTACACATAAGACCGTATGTGGATAAAACAAACGGTGGTCTCAATGAAAATTACTTCGAGATTTTGTATTTATTGAAATTATTTCCGGGGCTTATGTTATTTAATATACGATTATTTCATCATCGCTAACGGTTATTATTACGGTAATATGATAGGCGTACGATTAACAACCAACATCTTAATTACCTAACTTAACTAATAATTACCTTAACTAACACGTTTCTGGCATCCAACAGGTATGTACAGATGTGGTCCTGCACCCGTTGAAGCAGTCCGGCGGGGTGAAGTCAACATCGGATTCGACACGACGTTCGTGTACACGGAAGTGCGGGCCGACATGTGCGTTTTCAAAGAATCGGAAGACGGATTTTGGTCCAGAGTGAAAACGATACCAAATTAGTGAGTAATTAATGTATATTATAATTTATAAGGCATAACAATATGATACCACCAAAAATGTAGGTACCCTCTTTTCTTTTTCTAACTATATCCGTTTCACCGTTTCCACCAATTTTACATTTCAAATAAAACAATTTCTATACAATTAAAAACTATTGCACAGTAAATTTATCTTGACTACTTTAAAATATAAAAAATAACATATTATTTTAAATTTTAATATCGTAAGAATAATTAAGCAATAATAAGAAAAATAATAATAAATCATTTTTACTTTTATTTAATGTATATACTATGTAGGTAAAATGTATATATTGTATTTATTAAAATATATGATTATAATTTATAATATTACATATAATATACTGTTTATCGATATTTTACAGTATTTTAAATAAACTAGTTAAGAAAAAACATTTAGTAGATAGTATAGATATTATTTTTTTGGAAACGTGAAACAGTCAATTGATGGAAAAGGGCAAAACACAATTTTGATGGAAACGAATATCGCACATATAATGTAATACTGATACAAGGCATCTAACATTGCTATTATTATTATCTTAGACAACCATTTTCTTATTGTATCTTGTATCTCTATTTAACATAATTAAACGCGTTAATTCTAAACACTAATTTTTGAGACAAATTTTTCTTCTATCCGAAAAAAAAATAAAAATTTTTGACGACCAAATTTGTGATCCAATGTTCGGGGTATTATTTTATTATTGGTAAACAATATTTTTATTTTAATGCGTACACCGATAGTTTTATTAATTTTAATAATAAATATGTACTTATAACAACGTATGCATTTAAACTATCATGACATAATATAAACAAGACCCAAAAATTTACTGAAAAACTCATGTCATATTATATTATGTTAAAACTTAAAACGATTTCATTGTATTCTGCTGTGTCTGTATAATACATATTTTAACGTTATGGACTTATATATGCATATTACCTAGGCACATAATATGATACTTGGGTCTTTTATACACAAGTTCTGCACGGCAGATACATATATTTATTACTTTATTATGCCTATTCATATTATCATACACGCCGGACGCCGAGAGACAAAAACCACATACTATTGTAGGCAGAAGAAGGTTAGTGTGTATATATGTCTATTTTTGAATTTATTCTTTCTCCTCATCTGGCGTAGATAAGGATAACTGCCCCTTTGGCACCTACTCGACGCAATAGTGCTTACCACCATCCATAACAAACAACGCGTATTAATATATGTATGCATATTATATAGATCTCCAACGATATCATAAATATTTGAATTTTTCAGCTATTAACTTATTGTTTTAATAAAAATATGTATTACAAATATAATATTTTGATAATGACTTTATCCATGTATTTTGGCTAAAGTGTATATAATTGTATTAAATGTTATTTAATTTTATTCCTCATTCATAAACATGAAAATATATCAACACAATCCGGACAATTTTAATAAAATATATATGATATTATATATTTCATACATAATATTTTAATAATAATTTTAAGTCTATTAATAGTAGGTAATTCTAAAATTCGAATATAGAATGGAATAAACGATGCAAGTGTAAATTCACTGCTATCAAAGTGTCATTGAAATATGCATTGTTAATGATATTTTAATTCGATATTTAAAATATTCATTTAATGATAAACATTAACTCGTTACTTATTAAATGTACATAAAATGTAAATTATAATATTAATTACGATATATCTAATATAATATATTATATTATTAATAAATTTAAATTATTTTATCTCGTGACTATCGACTAATAGATTCTTATAGTTTTCAAGACATAACCAAAAGTACTTGAGTAATATCATATTATCCAGCTAATATTAATATTGGACAATATTCAGTGATATTCATGGTGATTAATGTAGAAATTATCTAAATGCTAACATTACTTATAACATATATATATATATATATATTTATAACCGAACCTTAATAGTTTATAATATTCGGCATTACATAATAAAATAATGTGTTTGGTTTGCAGCGTCGGAAAACTAATCGTGACGAAAAAAATCGGACAAGAAGTATTACCTGAAATTGAAGACATGGAAGATATTACTGAAATCTACAAAAATCCTTTCGGTATGAATGAAAACGAGTTAAAATAATATTGAAAATGTAAATTATAGTTAATAATAGTATTATGTCATCTGTATGAGTTGGAGAGGAAAACTGATAACGAATTAATATATACTATAACAAATCAAGACCAGTAAAAAGAAAAAGAAAAAAATTTTAAATGATATTTTTATTTTTTTTATCACTGAAAATAATAATAATAACTAGAAATAAAACTAATAATAACAATAGGTAGTTATCGAAACTATAGTAAACATTTAAATGCCCTATAATAAATAAATCGATGTAAATATTATGTAATAATAATATAATCAAACAAAATCGTTGTTGTCCCTACCACTATGGTGGAAAAATGAACCGGAAATATATTTTTATACTAAATACATAATATTACATCTTAATATAACATTATAAGTCGTTTATCAGATACATAATAATTACGATCGACAAACACGCATAGGGCGTTTCAAACGATACATTTTCATCATTATTCAAGTTATTTGACCTTTTATGTCATGATCACAACCATATACTATTGAAAAGGTTTTCTCTATTTTTTTTTTTATTTGTTAAAAAAAAACTTGAAACAAATCTTAAACATTTTTATTAATATGATAATAATAAAAAAATTAAGCAATTGTAAAAATAAACAATGAATGGAGGACAGATCGATAGACAGATAATACATACAACTATTTACTTTATGAGACTAACAAACGAACTCTGATGATCTAGACTCGCCGGAAGACAAAATGGCCGTAAAAAAAGCCATTAAAGTGGTTCCGATCGCTCAGGAGATATATGACATGGAGGACTCACAAATCGAAGATGTCGAGTTCAAGCTTTTCGACATCGAACAGATCACACTAGGCGAAAGCTTCAAAATCGCGATCAGCATACACGTAAGAAAAGACATATTTTATATTATAAGCATAAAAGTATATTATACCTACATAGTTTAAAAATAATACAGTTAATAATATATTTGATAAATTATTATTATTATATAGATAGATAGGTACTATATTATAAAAGGGCGCACTTAAAAGAGCGAGTGTCGACAGTGAAGTATTTGTTCAAATTATAGGTTTATTATTAAATTCTTTTATAAAAAGCTAAACACACGTCAGAATAGTGGATCGATATCGATATCTAGGATATCTATGTATTTAAAAACTAGTTAGGTTCACTATAAATTAAAGACTACGCATTGTAATATTGTGATTATTGAAAATCGAATAAAAATGTACATCATTGACGGTTTTTAAAATATTATACTACACAAAACCATATTATGCAATAAATTACTATTTTCGACAGAAAAAAAACTGATTTCCATTGGAAAGTGGGGAAAGGAGACGTTAATGAAGTGTTTAAAATATTACTTATGTGTCATCGCCGACTACAAAATATGATATTATTACGGTTGAACTTTAGCGTCTCGTTCCTCGGCAAACAGTGATATCAAACTAGCCCAATTTAATAAATTAATTGTATTTACACAGAACACGTCATCGGAACCGCGATCCATTTCCATCGTACTATCAGCATCGTCGATCTTGTACACCGGCACAACAATCCACAAGTTGAAAAGAAGCGAAGCGAACATCGTCCTGAAACCCAACCAAAGTACGTTGTCCACGGTTCTCACGTAGGGTTATTTTATTTTGAAATTTTTACCATCTAGCGATAAGTTAAGGAGTCTGACGCATTGGTTGACGTGATTCGAATTAATACGTCAGCGACACTAATATTTTTACGTCTAAAATAACAAACGGATTTTAAAATAATTCTATTATTTATATTTATCGTAAATACTATTTAGTTGTGAAATGTCACTATCAGAAAGCTCTGTTAAGTATTAATTAAGCCGTTAGCTTGCCGTCGCCGTCAAAATTATCAAAGTGGAAGGTTGCTTACATTGAATAAAAAATCCGGAGCCTGAGAACATTATATCATAGTGATAAATACGCGCATACAGTACACTATATACAATCGATTTTCGACTGGCACACGAACAGTTAAAAGTTAATAATTCATTAATCATTAGTCATTACTTCATTAGTAATGTGAATGTTGTGATTATCCACATTAACAAAACAAAAAAATGAAAATAGGTTGATACGCACTATGCTGAACAGTGTCAATTGCATTTCTTCGTTAAGCATGTAACTGTAAATGTATTAAATTCGATTTCAATAATCAATAATAAATCATATTATACTTACGAAAAACGTTTCTAAGCGAAGACGATTTATCAACCTATTACATCTTTTATTAACTATTAAGTATTACATTTAAAAATTACACTGTGAGTTATTATTATACTATGATATATTTTTATCATAGTAATTTATTTTACAATTTTACAGTTATATACGTTAGGTTGAATAAATTTTTGAAAGAGATATTGCATTTATTATATTATTAGGTACTCGTTGGTATTTAATTATTATAGGTATATTAGTATGTATTTATAAAATATATTACTGTTAATTATTAACTTAAAAACCGATACCGATTAACCGAAAAACTATGTGAATAAGATCACGGTAAGAAAGTTTTGCATAAGAGTTCCTGATTTTTCTCCGATTATTTTGAAGAGTAGATAGTTACTAAAAATTTATATTTTTATCCTCTTAAAAGTATCAAATATATTCATATTTCTACTATAAAAGATATGAAAGTTGAAAATTAAAGCATTTTTTTCTATAAATCGTGTAAACATTGGTACAAAAAAAAACATGTCAACGTACAAAAAAACAATCCATGTAAATACAAAAATAAAAGTGTCGGTACCATAATATAATATAATGCATTTGGTCGTATAGAATCTCACTAACTTACTATTGTTATTATAAACGGTTATTGTCTGTTAATTTAGGAGAAAACATCCACACTTTCGTGAAGCCGTCAGAGTACATGGAAAAAATGTCGTCGAACAGTTTAATAAGAATAACGGGTGTAGCCAACGTTCAAGGCACGGAACAGTTGTGGAACCAAGATGATGATTTTGTAGTACAAAAACCACAACTCAACGTAGAAGTAAGTGTTTAAATAGAAATGCAAAATGAATGTAAAACGTCAATGACGCTCATGAGAAAAATCTAAATAAGATGTCCACGTCCTAGTTTTACAGTAAACGCATCCTACAAGAACATTTCGATGGTTATATACAACTCCTGAAGGAGTGGTAAATTTCCACTTTTTATTAGGACATTATTAGAGTCTTACGTCTTATCCAACCACTGGCAAAAGTGTAAAACATTACCTCATTTTAACAACGTGGTGTAAGAATTGCGAAAATTAATGGATAACCTACCTACCTATTATTTACCATTAGCAACTAAAACCTGGTTTAAAATCTTAACAGTATTTATTTTTATTAAAACAAATCTATTTAACTGTGTTAATTAGGAAAACTAAATGCCTTATTACACATAAGTAATAATGACAAAAAATAAATAATACCGTCAGCTTTTAATCCTCCTTTAAACCATGGAATAATGGATTATAAGTGGAATTTTATTGTGATTTTTATTTTGGTACTAATAGGTACATCAAAAGCAATCATGATAACAAAATCTGACTTCATGGTATTTTGCCACACACAGATAGGTTGTACTGATTTAAAATACTTTTAACGACATAGATAGGTAAGCAAATAGGTATAGTTAATAAGTCATTGATAATATATAATAAAAATCTTTAAAGTGCATCAAAATATTGGCACTTATCTTTCAGATGGATGTTAGATTCTTAACTTGGATAAAAAAATTAAGAATATTACTAATAGTCTCTATAAACAAAACAAAGTGAAATTACATTTTTTTTTCTTTAGCTTTCAACATTATATTATGTAGTATGCTCAGTATAAATTATGTCTGATGTCAAAATTTTTCTCATAGCTTAATTCACAACTTCAAGTTAACAAACGATGTGAAGCAACTTTTTCGTTCACTAATCCTCTCTCAGTCACTCTAACAGACTGCACATTCAGTATTGAAGGCCCAGGAATCCATAAAATCATCAAATTCAGGTACATACTATTTATCATTACAATATACCACATATATGTATATAAGATGCTGGTGTTACCATGTTATAACAACTCATGCTATATTGCTAATATTTATCAATGTATTGTTTGTTCACACAGAGATGTAAAACCTAACGAAAAATATGTCACATATAAGGAAGTTTTTACACCAGAACATGACGGACAACGAACTGTCACGGTGTCTTTCAATTCAAAACAACTCACAGACATCAAAAACACCATAACTGCCACAGTATTACCATAAAAATAATCATAATTTTATTGTAAAAAAAAATTATAATCATATTTCTTAATAAATAAAACTTTTAAATTGTATAATAAATAAAATAAAAATAATTTCGACAAGCTGAAGTTTGTTATTTGCAGCTAAATATTCAAGAAGACGAAAAATTAAGATTAACATACAACAATCATTTAAAATATTACATAATATGGCAATAAATTACAAGAATTAAAAAATGGTAAATAGGTGATGTAAAAATAATACATGCAGAAAAAAATTATAATAATCAACCTATAAGTACCATTTGTCTTAGTCTAAGTATTTCGTATAAAAGTCTTATGAAAATACAAAAAAAAATTTGTAAAAAAATTTTTTGATAAATATTTTATCGCAAAAGTTATTTTAAAATTATTAACTAATAGTCATAGTAATTATCATCTACCCTGTGTTTTTCAATATTACCACTAAGTGTGGGATCAGGTCGCCGCCTTTTGAAAAAACCTAATTTCCATAATAGCAGAGTCAACAAGATTAACAACAAAAGCCCCACCAATATTGCTAGAATAATTATCCACCACGGAATTGGTTCGTTTTCTTGTTGCAATAAGTCCACTTTAGCAGTAGTCTCCACCTATAAAAACCATGTTGATTAGTTAGAACAAACATTTAAATTAGATACATGATTAAATTGTTTATTTTAGTGAAATATCAATCACAATATTTCAATGTTTGATTATTATTTTATATCTTAAGTAATAATTTTAAAAAAAATAATGTTAATTCATCTATATTTTGTAACTGTATTTAAATTATATAATATAACAATATCCTAAAATGCATTTAAAAACAAAAAACGCATTCAAATACTAATTTATATTTTCAATGTACTATTGATTTTTATTAAAATGTTTACACCTTCAAACTAGTTGTTATATTATGAATACAAAATAATATTAATTAATTACTTCAAATTCATCATCTAAACGATTTTGTTGCAATAATTCAGGGGGTATATGAATTTTTGCTCTTGATACAATTTGAACAGAATCAACTTTAGGAAACAGTTGTAGTAAAGTAGAATTCCACAGTCTAAGAAAAAAAATTGAATTAATTAATTAATTAATTAAAACAATAATCTAATTAAATGCAATATTTATTGCTAGTTATACAGTAAGTTTATAATACACAAAATCATAATATCTTACCTGGCTTTAATAAATATTGTTGCCTCTTGATTTTTTTGTAAATTGTTTATAAGACAACGAAACTTGAAACACTTAGCATTTCCCATCAAACAGTTCTATAAAATAAAAATATATAATTTGATAAAATAATCAAATCATATGTAAAATTTAAATATTGCTCACCATTTTGGCTATTTCTACATGCTTTCCATTATCTTTAACGTATGTTTCTGCACCTACAACATAATTTTGTTCCCTACGTACTCTATTTTGATAATAACCAGAACTACTATTTTTCATCGTGCTGATTGTTGTTTTTGACAACATGTAATTGTTCAAAACATTATTTTCTGTACTAATACTATCAAGAGGCATCTCTTGAACTCCTGGACGCACTAGTAAACCTAATGGATTGACTTGTTCTTCCGACATAAAACACTTTCCACCACTTATAGCTAAACAAGTATTAAAAAAGACATATTTTTTATAAGTTGGTTATATTAAATATTTTACTTAGTCTCAACACTTACCTTCAACGTATGGATTTTCATCTAAGTACAGTAACCACTTTCCTGAAGTATGATGACTGGCGACCTGATAAGGCCAATCAATATTTACTTCTAACTTAGACACTTTCCAGGGCCCAGAGTTGAACACTTGATAAGTATGCAATACTCTGGAACCAACTTCATCACGATACTTTACAGACAAATCGTCTTTCACTTGACCACCATAAAACACTTGTTCTGGACGTGCTAACCTAAAATAAATTAAAATAATAACATAATTCTAATACATAATATATATATATATATCCAATTTTGAATTAATAATTATTAACCTACCCCTTCAATGATAATTCAGCTTGTTTAATGATATTGGCATGTAGAATTAATGGACTCTGGGGATCAACTTCGTGGGATGTAGAGTTGGAAAATACGATAAACTTCAATTGATTTTCAGAATCATTCAGTTCTTTTGGATCAAATCGTAATTGAATATTAGAAATCGCAGACTTTTTAAATGGATTTCCAAGTGCACACACAACTAGTGTCTTGTTAAATGGATTGCAATCTACTTGCTTTGTCTAGAAATACATTTTATTATTTTTTATTTATAAATACTAGTTTTAAATTATTTACTTACATCTTCTAATCTCACAGTGCCTATGTAATTAAATGAATAAGGATGAACAATAAACATTCTGCTTTCATATGCAGACTCTCCCTGATTGTATGCAGTTGTATTTAAAAGTATTTCAATATGCTGGCCTATTACCAACTCGTATTTATCATCTGAAAATAAATTAAAATAAAATATTATTGATCACTAATGAATGAAAATATTTTTCAAAATACATCAATTGAATAAAAATAAAAGTTTATTAGTTTAAATAATTAAAAAATCACAGTAAATACTTAAAACATAATAGTGGATATTGATATACCTGAACCTGATATTCTAGGTAACAACAATTCAGCGTTCACATGTACACGACTTTCACATTTATCATTGTTACCACAGTCCTTATGGAATGTAGCAAAGAAAGTTTTTTCCGCCTGATTTTGATTTAATACTGGCAAATCAGCTAAAGAAGGTACTGGATCACCAGGTCTTAGAACAGGAACATCATTTTGTACCAATGAATATGAAATACGCATGGCAATTGGAGACTGAATATCCATTGTGTTCTCCTATAACAAGACCATAATATAAATAAAATATACTGTAATAATAGAAAATATTTTACAATACCTTAATGTATGCCGTGTGTTGTTGGCACGTTTCTTTTTTATTGTGGTCCACGGAGACAACGTTTTCAATTGTTTGTGACTTTGATGTATGATCTGGTCCAAACCAAACCCTAGAAAACTTACGACCTTCTTGAAACGTTTCAGCTTCTAATCTATAACGCAATTGAATACCCCATCCTCCATCTTTAAACACAGATTTCAATGTACAACATGTTTCAAATGTAAAACTGTAAAAAATAATAATTTACTTAATAGTGAAATCTAATATGATAAAACAATTTTGAAAATCAAGCTATTTTACCAAGTAACTGAGGATGTTTTGTTAGCTGAACAACCGGTTTTAGTGGGATCAATATTCCTAAGTTTTTCTGGTGGTCGAACCTCAATTGTTATGTCTATAATTGGTCGAGCTCTAATCAATATTGCCATATCACTTTCATAAGCACCAGATATTAAATCTGGATAACCATTTTGATCTAAGTCCATTCCATTACCACTTAACGAATATCCTAATGTACGTATTTTAAGATTTTCTACCACCAAATCCTCTGCTTTAATTATCTAATTATACAAATACAAATAAATTATGCCCATATTCTTTAAAGTTATATTATTTTATAATTTAATAATTTAAAACAGAAAATATTGAACTAACTTGTGAAGGTTCCACTACAATTCCATTATCTGAACCTTGATATATGTAAATAACTCCATTTCCTTCATATGGTGCTCCAATAGCTATGTCATCATATCCATCTTTATTCAAATCCCCTAAGTTTGTAATTGCAAATCCAAATCTAAAAATTTGATCCATGATTAATAAATATATACTTAACAAAGAATAATATTAAGATTTAAACCTGGATTCTGGTTTTCCAACTAGTTTAATCGGTGGTTTGCAATTAAAACAATGATCTTTATTGTTCATATAAATATAAACAGCTCCACCAGTTTCTTTTGTGAAATAAAATGGTGCACCAACTATTAAATCTGGTTCTCTATATTAAAATATACATATACATATTTTAATTACTAAGAAAATAATAATTTACAAATATACTTTATAATTTAAATTAAACTATTAAAAACATATTTTGCTATAGTGACTAATCTAACAATGAAATATTTACACATGAATGAATATGTGCAGTTTCTGAAAAAATTAGTTTGCTTAACGCCAAAAAACAATTTAAACAAAATGTGTTTATAAATAAAACTACTACGCACTTGTCTCCATTGAGATCAGCAGTTGCTAATTCATAACCAAAACTAGAAGCAAATTGTTCTCCACTAATCACTAGTCTTGCATCCATCAGATTTACAGATGGTCTTACTTTAGTAAATAGTACAACTTGACCTGTTCCATTGGCACGTGGGGCACCAGCTGCATAAACCATATTTGGTTTACCAAAGAAATAATCTGCAGTAGTAGACATACCTAAAATAATGAAATTAATTATTTAATGTTTGTTATAAAAAAAATATTTAATTATTTTTCATAAAATTTGCTTAATTAAGTTACCTAAATAACTATGGCTATCAACAGGAGATACTTCAATATCTCGAACCGGACTATAGTAACAAGTTTTATCTCTGTGTAAGAAGTCATCCGATACACTGACCATAAATATATTTCCTTTCCAATTATATGAGCCAGGTGAGCCAATAACTACAGTTTCATCATTTAACAACACACCACTTGTGCCAGCTTGACAATAACCAAATTGTGCCTGACCCCTAATAAATCATATTCATAAAAAAAATAATAAATTAAGAATAAATGCATATTATTTAGAGATTGTACTCGAATTATCTTCATATTTTAAAACAACATACTTTTCTGTCTCTCGACCTTTGCATGGTTCCCAACATTCAACAAAGTCTAAGTTTTGTGTCAAAGTATAACAAAGACCTTGTCCCCATTGGTATTCATCACCTCGATTAATGTATCGATGAGCACATACCTGAAATGTTTATTTATGTAATCAGAATTTGTTTGAAAAAAATTAAAATATTTATTGTGGAATGATCTTCGATTTAAATTGTAATTTTTTTCCCATGTTGATAGCATCTATAATCAAAA